ATGTTTTGAGAATGATGATGACAACAGATGTACAAATGTGCTTGACATAATGGATGGATGTATGAATTGTGATAAGAGTTGTATGAGCCCCCAATAAGATGATTTAAAAAAAAAACTTAATTAAAAAAGCAATAAATAAATAATAAAAATTAAAACCTTAATTAAGCATTGTTTTGATTATAAATCTACACTAAGGTGGTTAATCTTTGTCATTTGATATTTTCTTAACAAATATTTTTCCTCAGTAATTTGAATTCAGCAGTCTTGTATTTTCTTAAAAACCAAAATGCATTTCTAATCATAATTGGAGCAGACACGGAATCCATCCTAAAAAATATCCTTTAAATACAGACATAGATTTGCTTCTTTGAAAAATATCGATTCCACCAATATTTGTGTTGTGTGTTCACTCTGTGTTAGGCACGGGGCTAGGAAAGGGTTACATGGGAATAACAGGAGACAAACTACATCTGCTCTAAATATACTAACAAAGAGGTATCGGTATATACTAAAAAACAGAAGACCCCAAACAATTCCTATAAACTTGGCATAAAATATAATTTAAACTATCTCTAATTACTTTAGATATTTTACCTCATCATGGTACAAAAAATACATAGATATAATATACACAATGGGTTCACAAGGGGGTAAAAACTTAGTGGAAGACAGAATTAAGAGACAATGGAGTTTTCCACAAACTTTTTCAGGCCCCCTCATGGATGTAGTAGTATGTGTGTTTACACAGCCACAAGTGGAGCTTTGCTCTTCTTTGCTATTTATCACTATCTGTTCAAATATTCACACACACAATTGTATGACAAAGGTGTGTGAGCAATATTAGTTACCAATTGTTCACCATACTATACTAAAAGAGTAGTTTGGAAAAATAATATTTAAACCCTGGCACGAGCGCCCCCCACTGGTGAAATCATTCACAGCCTTCCTTTAACGCGGGCAGCAAAAGTCAGAAGGGGCGCGTGTGACACCTGCCCCTGAAGCTCCCTAATGGTCTGCGACTGGTCTGCGCATTTCCGCGCGCAGCGCCGCAGACTCTCCTGACACTCCTGAAGCCTCTGCTCCGCCGCTGTCAAGGAATCCCGGACGTGCTCTACCTCCTGAAGGTGGCAATCCATCTGGCCTCTCATCTGAGTCGAACGAAGCATTAGGGGAAATAAGTGCAAGATCACACATTCAGCGTTAATAGTCTCACTTTCTTAAATACAAGATAAACATATATCTATGTATATACGTATATAAGTACGTTAGCTATAATAGTCTTAAACAACTACAACAAAAGAGTCAACCAAACAAATATGAATCAGTAAGTTTTTAGACTGGTAAGTAAAAGTATATCATAATGCAGAGTAGGTTGGGTTTTTAATTCCTATTCAAAAAGTTTGTTGGGCAAATAGATACAAATTGCATGGAGAATTGAGCTATTAGTAGCATCTATTAGTAATGGGTATTATTACTAATAAAGGTACTATGGTAGCATTTTACTGTCCAGACCGTCATTAATTGTTAAGTAATTATCAATTGCGTCAATCTTATTATTCAGATATTTAATTTAGTGAGGCAGCACTGCGCCAACAGTCTTAGTGAGGTTTACTGTATATTCTGACAAGATAGCTAATATCACCAGTCCTACTACGCTGCAATTTGATCATTAATTATGGAAAAAAATCATCTCTATTTTTATCTAAATTACTGACCATGGATGTGGCAATTCCTCAATGTACCACTTTTGTGGTGATATAACAAGCAGCCAGCTTCAGAACTGCTTGTACTGCTAATGAAGGAAAAATAATGAGCCACTGGGCACTTAGGATGTTCTGTTCATAAGGAGGAAAAACAGACCTTTTCCTGAGGAAAAGAGCTTCCATAGTTGCTGCGCAAACCTGTAATCCCTCCTCATAAAAACTCAAATTAGAGCAAAATATAACCTGGTGTCCCCAAAACAGCTTAGAACATTCAAGAAAGCTAGGGGATTTAAACCCTGCAATATGAAAAAGAAGAATTTCCTTGAAAAGAAAAACTGGTCTGATGACCATTAGAAAGCATTGTGGCCTCACAGGTTTTGAAAGACCTAGGCCATGGCCGGCTCCGAGTTGAACGGGCTCTTTCTGTACTGAAGTGCTGCCTGGCTGAAGAAGAGACACCTGCAACCGTATACCTCTTGAGAAAGAGGAAACCAAGCACCAAAACAGACAAGGGAAACCCACTGCCATCAAGTTGACGCCAACTCACACGTACGCTCTATAGAAGAGAGCTGGCAGCCTCAACGTCTTCCCTGCGGAGCAGCTGATGGGTTTGAACTGCTCAGCTTGCCGTTAACAGACTACCGGGTCATGAAATGAATGGTTTCTTTTCTGATCTGCTGAACACAGGAACAAAATAGCCCTAAGAAAGTAACCCATGTTCTCGTCTCTGTCCGACAGCCCGAATGGGTTTTGTCTGACCTCTTCTTCCCAACGGTGCCTCGCTGACTTCACCATGCCAAGAACAGGGGGTGACCCGGAGACCGGGACCTTACTACCTTGGTTGAAACTGGCCAGGAACGTCTCATGCCCGCTCTCACTGAAAGTCTGTGACCTCCACCCTCCGCTGCTTTCTTACCAAAACCACATGAAAGAAGCGAAAAGGGGTAAGATTTAAAATGTTCCCCAAACTTTATAACTTGCTAACACTGGCCTTCTCCTTTGTCTGCTATAATAGGAATAAAAGGACATAGTGCTTTAAAAAAAAAATTCGCAAAAAAATATTTTAAAAAAGCTCTTAGCAGGGAAAATGTACTTGCTTTTCAGACACAAAAGATTTACTAGCTGAAAAAATAGGTTTCATTAAAAATGAAATGTATTAAAGATACCATAGTTTTATAAACACTTAAACTTCAAATTTTCATACTTAGGGTTGATGAAACTTAGCAACATATAATCATATTTTCAAATACTTTGTGCCTGCTTTTACATTAGAAAAAGTAAACATGATTTATATTTATTTTTCTAAACATTAAGCAAGAAGTGAAAATAAATTTACACAAACATTTTAAGCTTGTAAAAACCAGAAACAACTGTTATTTCCTCATAAAACCGACTCCTACAGAAGTTAATAACCGGCGATTCCTAGGTCAAAATAACTTTTCAATGAACAAAATTAGAGATTATGTATAATATTCATATAATACAAAAGAGAAATATTATTTAAAATTTCAAACTTACTTTCTCTAACTTTTTATTTTTGTTTTTTGTTATTTGTTTATTTTCATGCATCAAATTTTCATGCCTGCTTTTCACGATTTCAGCTGCTTCTTGCAACTTTTGTACCTGAAAATGAAAGATTTAATTCAAGCACCATGAATTATTTAATTATCAGGATTATAACCTGAAGTAAAAGGTTCAAGGTCTATATTTTCAGTTTTAGCAAATCATCATTTCTGTATCAATATCTTCATTCTGTTTATCTAATGTTTTCCTTCTTTAAATATGGTATCCACTCAATGCTCTAATAAAATCCACAGCCCTTTAGTGATTTACCCATCCTCTCCAATCAGTACTTCTAGACTAGGGTACGGTAGACTGCGGCCGGCCGGCCTTATGTGGCTCTTTCAGTACATACATGTGGCTCTGCAGTCAAACTGAAAAGTTTTAAAGGATGTTATTAGATAAAGATGGTGTCAGTTGTTTGTAAAATATATTTCTGCTCACAAACAAGTTTTAAAACATGAGGGAAAGGATTGGCTCTTCCCTCTCAAAGGTTTGCTGGTGTCTGCTCTACTCTTCAGAAAATCTCAGAGGACGATGAAATCTGCAGGTAGCGTTCCTTTCAGGAACCAGCTGCAAGTCCACACCCCCATTCAGTCCTATTATTCCCTCCTTCTCCTCCAACCAAATAAAACTGAGAGAAAAAGAAAAATCTGAGCTCTATTTACAGGAACCAGTGCCTCAAAAATGGCAGTTCAAAGCCACCACGCCTTTGAAAGAAAAGATGAGGCTCTCTGATCTGTAAAAATCTAGTCTCAAAAATCCTACAAAGGGACACTATGTGTTGCCATCAATTTGATGGCAATGGGTCTTGTTCCTGTTTTTATGGGGTTTCAGTGCAAGAAAAGCCTTGTCAGTGATTTAGTTAAAAGCCACGTGTGGAGCAAGTGAAGGTAATTGTGATGAAATTTTTGTGAGGGCATTTTACTAAATCACTTAATAACAAGGGCATTTTCCTTAATATTAAAAGTCAATTATGTGTTATCGGTAAGTCAGAAGTTTGTAACCCGGGGATTTCCTGTATTGCATTTCTAAAACAAAGATTTTCTATGAATTACCATTGAACACATGCTCTATTGCATAATATTGCCATATATTCTTTTTTAGATCTTTTATGTGAAAAAAAATCTAAATTATAAATCACTTTATTTATTGGGAGGGAATCATAATTTTAAATCATTATTACTAAAAATACAAGACATATAAATGTATCCAAGAACGAAGTATATATCAAAGTTTTTGTAATGAGTTTGAATTTACTTTTAGAAATATCCTGTATCTACACAGAGTTTGAATCCAGAATTGTCTGTTCATGAAAGTTTTGAGTTTACAAAATATTGGATATCTTATATTCTATCACAAAATGATTATCATCGCCTCTCAATTCTGCTTATTGCAGTTATAAACAAATGGCATGCTTTAAGCTGTCTCCCAGCATTAACACAATGCAATCATCACCTGAGCTTTATATACTTCAGTAAGGGTTTTCCGTTGCTTTTCTACTTCTTTCAATTCTGAAAGTTCATGTTCAACAGAAGCAGCATTTTCCTTCAAAGCAGCAAGTGTTGTCTAGCAAGGAATATGTAAATAGGTTTTATAAGTGACTGAAATACAATTACACTCCAATGTTACAGGATTGCTAAAAAACGCATTTATCAACAGTTGATAATTATTTTTGACTACACACAATTACCATCTAAAATTTGAGGATTCAAAAGTTTGTGAGCAATACTTATGAAAAACTTCAATAAGACGTATGCAGGAGGGTGGAACAAGGTAGTAAAGTGAGCGGTGGCTCCCATGTACCCCAACAATTCACTCACTGAGCAGTGAATAAAAATGAGCCTAGCGTGAGATCGCAGAACTCAAATAGCAACTGAGGGATGGAGAGAGCGGAGATGAATCCAGAAGCAGAGAGGATTGGGAGCACACCACAGACTGGGAGAACCTACCAGCTAGCTTCTGAAGCACTAGCTCAATGTAGTCATTTTTGGACCTGAACAAATAGCACAGGTCAAAAACGAAAGCAAGGCAGTTGTAGCCCAATTTCAAGCAAAGGCTTGAAAGGCTTTGGGCTCGAAAGCCCAAAGGTTGAGCAAATTGGCTGTAGGTGTTCCGGGGGATGAGCCCTTGAGGGCGGCGAAAGGCGTCCATGGACCCGTGAAGAGAGTGCTGTTGACTCACCAGTTCAAATGGACAGGCATTAAGACTGGGAGGTACTGAAAAGTCACAGGGGATAAGGATACTTCAGACTGGCAACAGAATAGTGAACTTCCTGCCCACAGTAAAGCATTGTGGGAGTTTATGGTAGTGTGCCCATGAGGAAAAAAAAATAGAGAACTTCCTGCATTTTTCATTCATTTTTAGTGTTGCGTTACCTACCTGCCTCAACCCAAAGCACACACACACACACACACACACACACAAAATGAGTAAAGTGAATTAAAGAGTTAATGTAAAAGAAATAAAGCTTTAAACATTTTCAAAGAAGGTCCAGGTAAATGTTTATTTTAAGAGGCCAAAAATTCTAAAAAGCATGAAATGAAGTGAAGCTTTCAAGATCTGTAAGGATCTGGGATTTTACTTTCCTCCCAAGCTAAGAGGTTAGGCTGCCATAAATTCACGAATGCTAGCAGAAGATTCCTAGGTCAAGGTCTCTGATACAGCAATAGCAGAAGCCAGGCTATCAATCATTATTTATGTTTCCTGAGCACCAGTCCCAACAGGTCCATATGAAGAGGGAGAGAGAGCATCTACACATGCAGTGGGTTTCAGGAAAGCAAGGGAACCAATACGAGCCTTGTTGGTGTAGGTTATGCTGCGTTGGGCAGTCTCACTTCAAGGTCAGCAGTTCGAACCCCACAGCCACTTCACAGGAGAAAGATGAGGCTTTCTGCTCCATAATTGGCGCTTCTCCTCTGTCTGATAGGGTTGCTATGAGTCAGAATTGACTCGATGTCAGTGAGTTTGGGTTTTAAGGACTTTGCAATAGAGGAAGACATTATTGTTATTT